AGCAACAACAACGACGACAACGACAACGACCACGACCACGACGACAACCACGACCACGACCACGACAACGTGCAACCACGACCACGACCACGACCGCAACCGTGAGCGCGACCACGACCACGACCGCAACCACAACCACGACCGCGCCACGACCACGGCCACAACGGCCACAACGACGACGACAAACAAGAACAAGTGCAACCAAAAACAACAGCAACCAGCAAGAACAGCAGCAACAGCAACGAACAACGACGACAACGGCGAGCAGCAACAACAAGAAACCACCACAACAACAACGACAATCAACAACAATAGCAACAACACCAACAACAACCAGCAACCAACAACAAACAACAAACCACACACAACAAACAACATGCGACAAACAACAAACCACACGCACAACAAACAACAAACAGCAAACAACGAACAGCACACAACAAGCAACAAACGACGCTCAACAAACAGCAAACAGCAAACAACAAACTGTAGCCCATGAACAACTGTGGGTCATTCGTGCCACATCATATTGGCGGCGTAAATGCTTGAAATATTTTGTCGGTTCCTGTCGATTTCTAGCGTTCTCGCGTTCTGTCGGTTTTGTCGGCTCATGTTATTTATTCTCGGGGGCCTAAAAGGATCTGTTCCCATACAACCTGTTCACCAAAGCCTTGTTATGGTTGATCTCAAGCGAGAGCGCGAAAATTGCTTCAACAGCGCAGAAACGCTTGAACCAGGGCTCTTCAGGCGCTGCGCCCCGGCGCAGTCAAGATGTTTCTTGACCCCGCGCTTGCCGTGCAAAATGCATGCGCTGTAGAACAACAACAAAACAACCAAACTACCAAACAACCGAACAACGAACCAGTAACAAGCAAACATCAAGCGCAACAAGCAAGTGTCAAACAAACAACCACACAACCAATAGGCGAACAACAACCAACCACCAACCAACCAACAATCAAACAGCGACCAAACATCTTCAAACAGCAAGCAAACAACAGGCAAACAAGAACCAACCGCCTCAACCAACAACCAACCAGCACTCCAACCAGCCACCGACCGACGTCCGAACAACAACCAAGCAACAACAACGACAATGGCCACGACAACGACAACCGCAACAACAACAATCATAACCGCAACACCGACGACACCGACAGCCACAGCCACAGCCGCAACACCAATGCCGGCGCCAACGTCAACAACAAAGCAGCAACCGCAGCCACAAGCGCAACCACAGCTACGTCAGCAGCAACAGCAACCGCCGCCGCAAGCACAACCGCAGCAACGTCAACACCAAGACCGACAACAGTAGCGCCAGCAACAACCACAACCACAAACGCAACAGCGACACAGACAGGAGCAAGAAGAAGAGCAAGAACAAGACCAACCGCAACATCATCAACAACCAGAACAACAACCAGAACAACAACAACGACAACGACAACGACAACAACAACGACAACGACAGCAACGGCAACAGCAACAGACAGCAATAGCAACAACAACAACAACAACAACAAGGACACCAGCCGCAACAACAGCGACAGCAACGGCAACAGCAGCAGCAACAGCCGCAGCAGCGACAACGTCAAGGACAGCAACATCACCACCAAGAACAACCAGAACAAGAACAACTTGCGGACGCCTTGGTAAAGGCGTTGCCGGCCTTCGCAGTTCTGTGCAATATCAAACCTACTGCAAGTGCCAACACTTGGCGCTGGCCTGCCACATGTCAGCATATGCCAAGCATGCTTCCGGGTACCGGTGCTCGTACGCTTCACAGATGGCAAGCGCCGCCCACCAGCGCACCTATGCCCACAGATGGAAAAGAACCCGCGCGCAAGTCCACACACCAGTGCCTCCATGCCCGCGAAAAAAACCCAGCCAGTGCACCCACGCCCGCAGATGGTAGGAACCAGCAGTCAAGTCGGTGTTAACCCACGGTCGCGTTGCGTCCATCTGCAGACCCGCTCTTCCTGCCGGGAATGGTCTCATTGGCCAAACGCTTGTCGCTGCATGACCATTTTGGAGAGCCATGATCCCGGTCGAGCCTTGCCCTGCTAGTGACATTCAACGATTCCCAAGAGAACCGAAGCGGATGACATGTGCAGGATTTCCGGAAAAAGCAACCGCAACAGCCACAACAGCCACGGCAACCCCAACAGCCCCAGCAAGCGCAACAACCGCAACAACAACAGCGACCGCAACAGTCGCAGGCAGCGCAACAAACCGACAAACCAACACTGAACCAACAAACCACACGCAACCAACAACCAACCAACCAATTGACCAACTGACCAAACGACAAACTGACCAACCGACCAACCGACCAACGGCCAACGACCAGCCAGTAGCTACCAACCGCCAGAGACCAACCGCCAGCCACCACCCACCGACCACCGCCAGCCAACCAACCACAAACCGCCCAACACCCAACACCCAGCAACAACGACAACAACAACAACAAGGCCTCGCGGCCTGGGAAAATGAACGTCAGCGGCGCGAAACTATGGTTTTGACAGCGCTTGTTTTGAGGGTTGTCGAAGGTGAGTTACCAAGAAGTTGAAAAACCTTCGAGCAGGCGAACGCATACAACCACGCAAACTTGGCTAACATGTTTGCGCTGCTGCAGGGGACCACTGTGGCGGGCGCGCTTACCATTTGGTTAACATGTTTGCACCGCTGCAGGGGATCGCTTTAGCGGGCGTGCTTGTCATTTGGCCAACACGCTTGCGCTGTGGCGGGGATCGCTTTGGCGGGTGTGCTTAGCGTTTGGCTAGCATGTTTGCGCTGCTGCAGGGGGATTATTGTGGCGGGTGGGCTTGACATTTGGCTATCATGTTCGCACTGCTGCGGGGAGCCACAAAACATGTGGCTAACATGTTTGCGCTGCTGCAGGAAAAGCTATTGCGGCAGGCGCGCAAAACATTTGGCTAACATGTTTGCGCTGCTGCAGGGGATCGCTTCGCTCCGGCGAGGATCACTCTGGCGGGTGTGCTTGTCGTTTGGCTACCATGTTTGGCGTGTGTGCTTAATTACCATATGGCTAGCATGTTTGCGCTGCTGCGGGGGATGGCTGAACAAAAAAAGTCGTTCTCACAACAGGGCCGCAGAGTGCGCCGCCCACCACCAACAACAACAACCGCAACAACAACAACAACAACAACAACAACACAGCAGGAACAACAACAACAACAACAACAACAACAACAACAACAACAACAACAACAACAGCGACGACACCAACAACAAGAACACAAACAACAACACCAACAACCGACAGCAACGACAACAACAACCAACAACAACAACCAACAGCAACAATAGCCAACAACAACAATCACAACAACAACAACAACAACAACAACAACAACAACAACAACAACAACAACAACAACAACAACAACAACAACAACAACAACAGCAACGGCAACGGCAACGGCAACAGCGACAGCAGCAACAGCAGCACCAACAACAATAGCAGCAACAACAACAACAAGGACACCAGCCGCAACAACAGCGACAGCAACGGCAACAGCAGCAGCAACAGCAGCAGCAGCGACAACGTCAAGGACAGCAACGTCAAGGACAGCAACAGCAACAGCAACAACAACAACAACAACAACCAACCAACCGACCAACCGACCCACCAACCAACCAACCAACCAACCAGCCAGGCAGCCAGCCAGCCAGCCGGCCAGCCAACCAACCAACCAACCAACCACCACCAACACGAACAGCAACAGCAACAACTTTAACAACGGCAACAACAACAACAGTAATGCGACAACAACAACAAGAAAATAACAACAACCACAGCAACGACCAACATCAACAACCAACATCAACAACAACCAACAACAACACGGTCACGGCGTTGTTCGCGACCGCGGGGCCCCGCAGCACCACGATTGCATCGCTGAAAGCTAAACTCAAGGTAATTTCCAGAGCGTGTGAGGCGTTGCCTCGCGTGCTGTATTTCGCAGCACTTTTTATGTTGTTTTCTGGCTTTCCCAATAGAGCGCAACTAACGTGCAGCCACACTTTCCGCGTAGCTAGTTGTCTTCAGCCATCGTTCTTGCCTGATCGAGCATCCATAGTCTCTTCTGTCTGCGCCAGCGGAAGGCCATGCCTGTCGGACACACGCAATTTTCCCTAGCCCCTGAAACACCCAACTCGCCACGTGGAACATGAAGAACTCCCTTGTGAATACCCCGCTTCTCTTGTTGCGGTATGCTTTGAGAGATGTGCTTTGGGAGATTCCCCAGGCCCTGTCCAGCATCCTGGGCGCCGGCGCTTTTCTTGTGTGTCTGTGTGTCTGTGTGTCTGTGTGTCTGTGCTTGTCTGTGCGTCTGTGTGTCTGTGTGTCTCTGCGTGTCTTCGTGTCTGTGTGTGTCTGTGCGTCTGTGCGTTTGTGCGTCTGTGTCTGTGTGTTTGTGTGTCTGTGCGTCGGTCTGTGTGTTTCTGTGTGTCTGTGTGCGTCTGTGTGTGTCTGCGTGCGTGTCTGTGTGTGTGTCTGTGTCTGTGTGTGTCCGTGTGTTTGCTGTGTGTGTGTGTGTGCATCTGCATTGGCTCACAAACAGTCAACGCAACGCAAAGAACACCTGTTTGAAAGCACCCACCTTTGCCCCACCCGCCCCAACCCCAAAAAGTGGCCTGAGGCCTCAAAAACTAGCTTGCCAGCTCACGGTCGCTAATCACGCCGTGAGCAACAACAACAGCAACAGCAACAGCAACGGCAATAGCAGCAGCAACAACGACAACGACAACAACAACAGCAGCAGCAGCAACAACGACAACGACAACGACAACGACACCGACAACGAACAACGACAGCAACAGCAGCAACCACAGCAGCAGCAGCGACGACAATAACAATAACCACCAAGAACCAGATTGCGGTTGGTGTTGGTGTCGGCGTGGTTTTTTGTCTTCGCCAAGTTGGGCTCAGTCGCCTAAGCCTCACAGGCTGGCTCGGTCACCGCTGCCCGGCGCAG